GGTGTTTAATTCACTATCGTCAGTAAATTTTTAGATATTGATGCTTGAACCTTTCGTACAAATTAACTAACGACGTTAAATATAATTTAATTTTTTACTTGACTCTATGTGTAACTTTTCGTTTTTGTTAAGATTTTGATTTTTAGGTGACGTTTCTTGATTTTTCAAATTTATGGGTCTAACTGATTCGTCGGCACTTGCGCCCAACCACAGATGATCCCTTATTGGTTGATCGTTTTTTTGGCTCTTTTCAGTGCCACCGTCAAATCTCGTTCGATTTGCGAACAACGCGTAAGTTTCGCAAAATAAATTTCTAAAATTTATTTGAATATCAAGAAGATTTCAGTTAATGACTTCTTCCTGCTGCTCTAATTAAATAACCTAAATTATTCAACATCACACTAAATAAATTGCTTAAAGGTTTCCTTCACGCTGAATTGCGTTATTTGCCAAAGCACTTCTGAATTTGTACTTTAAAATAATTATGATAAACAACACGCGGGACTGGTTCTGATACGGGCAAGCCTCAATCCAGTAAAGTAATCTTGCAGATTTCTACAAATTTAGCAAAGCAGTGCAGTGCTAAACCCGTGTTTTGTTTATCTAAGAGAAAACATCGTGGTTTTTCCATAACATCTCTAAAACGGTCCGTGAAGAGAAAAATGTTTCATTAAAACAGTTTGACAAAACTTTTGCCCATTTAACAAAGTTAAAGTTTTGTTCGGTTCACACGGTTTTGTTTACAGACGTCAGCATCGTCATTCCAGCGTGTCAGATAGATGAGCAAGGTGAGATATTCCGCTTTCAGATAAAAATTGTTTCTTCCACGATGCAATAACCGGCACTTGATAGCAAAAGCGTTGAAACGTTTAGAACAAATGGACATCGCAAACTGATCGTATCATGCGTATGTCGAACAAACAGACAAGTAGGCGAAGGTCGATTTATCCGATTTACAAATATAGGTGTTGGAGGGGTGTAGCTTTCTTCGACAATTTGGGATACCTTCCGCATATTGAATCACGGGTGTGTTCCATTATTCACTATTTTCATGAAAATTATTTTTCGCCCATTTGCTTAAATAGCTCGAAAGGTCTGCGTGTTTGCAAAATCGATGTGAAAAACGGTTGGCTGTAGAAGAGCACCGTTTTTTGCTAAGACTGAATGCAAAGAAGTAGTTAAACATGAAGTCTTTGAGCAAACCTATGAATTCTTCTATGTAGAATTCTAGCTATGTCATTCTGCCCAAGAAAGAGGTGAACCTTTTTAGAAAAGAAAAATACGTGTCAACCACCAGTGACACACGAAGTAGCAATGCTGTATTGCAATCGGTTCGGTGTTGCGTGAGAAGAAACGACGTTGACATAAAGTTTTTTTTTAAACGAGGCTACATGCATAAACTGCAGCTGCAAATAAGAAATTTTTTCAGCCTTCGCCCCCGTTATCCATCTGTTTCACAATGCCAATTGGTCCCTTTATGCAATTCTGCTTCAAACGTTCATTCAAGCCAGTTGATTGCCGAACACCTTTGGTATCAGGCACCTCCATCGTCTAAGCGGAAATGAACACTTCCAAACGTCAGCTGGGTAGATTTCCAACCCTTCTCCTCGCTATCACGTTTCAGCTGGCCGACGCCAGCTGTTACAACATTCATCAAGTATTTTTTAGACTCGCTTTTTCAAACTTTTCGCAACTTTGAGCCAGTTATTTACCAATTCAATCATCACTTAGTTGACACAATCGTCTAGACGCCTAACAAGTAAAACTTTCGTGTGAATTTAGCGGTAAGTGGAGCGGATCTGATGCCCTGAGGGTTCGGCCCTTCAGCCGCTCGAAGAATAGTGATTGACATTTGGCAAAAACGACACATTGTCCAGTAAAGCTATTTTTTAATCTACATATTGCGGTACAACTATCTTTCATTAAGTCTGATTAGCGCATTTTAAATACATTTTTTGGATCGTTGCGTCGATCGAAATGTATCCACGCACACATGCCTCGTATAGCATTGTCAAACATGAGCCATGTTACCCGTCCTTGGGAGATG